TGAGTATTGTATAGTCACTTATTTCATGTTTTTGATGAGGTGATCAACCAGGCTTTTAATATTTTTGACCTTTTTTCAAAAAATTTTTCTCTGTTGGCTGGGTTATTGATTTATGTGCAATGTTTACTGAAGGTATTGATCACTTGTTTACCTTTAGGGGGCCTGCCAAGTCATGTGTTTGCCATTTATTTTTATTTATGATGGTGGATTAGCTCTATTTGAGTAGAGCAGCATCAATTTATTTGAATTTAAGCAAACCATTTAATAAACCATAAATGCAATCTATGTCATATTATAGAAAGAACCACTTGCATACAAAAAAATCAAATAAATTCATATAAAACACAAAGTCAATAAAGTGATTTAGTAAACTCCTGAAGTGTAGGTGACGTAAGGAAGCTCCCTCCAACGCACTTTGTCATCTTGACATCATCAGGAGCAGCCGAAATGCATTGGATGGAGCTTCCTTATGTAACCTTCGTCATTTCTGGTCTGCTCACTTCTGGTTTGTGGAATGCAGGAGCTTCCAGAACATACTGTAATGCACAATTGCTTGTGTTTATCAAGCATATACTACATGTAAGTGTTTTTAACCATTTTAATTCATAATAAACAACTTTTGGTCTGTTCCATATATGCTTGTGAAGGCCCCTGGAGAAGAAAAAGTGATACCTGCATTTGGCCCAGTGGAGATAGACAGGAGCCTGGAGGAGAGGCATATAAGCGCTGTTAGACCCGCTTACAACAATAAGGGTCATGGATGGCCGGTGAGTGCGTTGGCAAAGAGCATGAGGACACCAACACTAGAACTGAATATTGCACCTTATTTCACAACACTTTTGAACTTTTATGAAACAACAAGCACAAGAGACACAATTCCAGCACTTTAATGAAGCACTTCATTGGAATTTGTGTTTTATATGAATATAAAATATACTACATAGAGAGGAGAGGGTACTGTAGTGCTGCACCCATACACAATTTTTCTGCATTTTTTTTTTCTCTTATCCAGAATATTCTTGCAGTTCCTTTTAAACACACCTTTTAATTAAAACCGCTGTAAAACGCTACGCAAACTGTTGGTGATATATAAATCCTGTATAGTTATAATAAAAATGTTTCCCCCTTTAAACTTTTTAAGATCACACGGATTAAAAATCATAAAAGAACCAACATTTATTGAATGCTTTCTTTTATTATGATTCAAAATATAATGCACTGCAATGAGAAAACAACACAACGTAACTATGTTAAAGTGTGGAGAAAAGTGGTCATCCATTATTGTTGTATGTGTGCTTGACTAAATAGTCAAATAGACAATTCCTAATGTATTGTTAGTGTACCTCCCAATTCTTAACATAGCTCTAAATACTGTGTCATGAACGCATCTGCTGGGTTAAAATAGTAATAAACAATGCATATGTTATGTCTTTCTTTTTTTATAAGGTGGACAGTGTGATTCTGTTAACTGTGACATAGATATCTTGTGCTAAACACTTCCCGTGAAGTTATACCGAACCTCCTTCATTTAAATTATACTATTAAAAAAAATCTTTCCATTTCTCCAAACTGTTTTTCCTTTTCAGTCAATTCACTTAAATTATTTTTTTTCTTTATACAAGGTAACATACATGTTCTTTACAAAGTCAAATATACATATTTACAGTCAATAACCTCTTAGAAATCTTTTGTTGAATGTACTTAAGTACAGTTCATGGCAAAAAAAATACTCTTTAGTACTAGGAACACAGGTAATATATATAGAGATTTTTTTATGTATATTTATCAAAACATATTGCTAGTCATGCTATCACAGCTGTAATTAATAAATTGGTAAAAAAAGCGCCAGCAAAAAAATAGTCATCTTACATTATTAAATATCTCGTATGACAAAAGAACATTCTAGATCTGTATTTTTTTTTGAACTGCAAGATGTAAACTTACAGTGTATTTTTTAGAAACATTTTATAGGTGTGTACAGTATGTGGTAATTTTGTGAAAGCAAACTTGAAGAGGTTAACATTTTTTTTTTCATTTAAACATAGTAAAAATGATGAGGTATGTTTCAGTTCACTGAATTCAAAGGGGTTTTCTGGATTTTCAGCAACGTTTTCAGCAAGATCCATTAACATATAACCTTAGAATATACTGTGTTGCCTGTTGCTTTCGAATAGGGATGCGCTAAGGTGTGTTTGGATCCTAGTCTAAACCCAACCGAGCAATCTCGCCACTGTCACTGCAATGGGCCAATCATAAGTGGCCAGGGCATTATCCGACTTGCAGTTGCATGTTTAAAAGGGCGTGCACATGTGCAGCTGTGGGATGGGGAATGCCTTGGTCACTTATAATTGGCCCAGTACAGTAACCATCACCTGGCAGGTTCACTCAGGTGGGTTTGGACTAGGATCCAAATATGCCTCAGCTCATCCCTACTTTTGAGCAATGTCCACAAATATGCCTGAATGTCCGCAAAAGATAATGTCACTCTTTAGTGCACCCTGAAGGCCTACATACATATATCTGTGTGTAGGCTACCCTTGCCTATCTGGTTTCTGCCTGCTGGTCAACCCACCCCTAAGGCTTGATCTCAGGAAACGTATAGCAGCAACCACTCCACAATGGTAGGAGGCATCCCTTAATGGTGGAAGGTGTAACATCAGGGGGAAAAAAAATATATATATATAATTTTTTTAAAATGTTTTTGTTGTTTGTTTTGTTAATTTAGTTCATTATATACTGAGATTTGCTTTACTCTGGAAAACCCTTTAAGTCAGATTAACACACCTCCCCTTGAAACACAAAAATAAAAGCATACCTGGTACCTACACAGAGAAGGAGCCATTTTGCAAAAAATATAACAGGTTATTAATGAAACCTCAGATTGGCAAAATTACACTAATGTCCATGGAAAAAAGTTAAACCCAATTTTCATAAAAACTGATTCCCCTCCCTGAATGGCTATCTGCACATTGACAAGGTAAAATATGAAGTTAAAATCACGTCCTATACAACACTGTCTAGCTACATAAATAGCTTCACTTCCCTATTCTATGACCATCTGATGAAAGTCAACTGAGCATTTTTAATATCTCCTCACATACTGCTGTCTTGTTTGTATCACTCACCTGCCTTTCCTGATTAAAGCTGAATGAAGCAATTACTCCGTATGTGCATACTGTACCAGCCAGCTCCTATTTGGTGACAGGCCAAAACAGTAAACCAGAGATGCCGCAGAATTCACTTTCATGTCAGCTTTCAACAAAGTACAGAAATATGGTTGGCTGCTAAGGATTACTGCACATCGCCTTTTGCACGGTTTAAATAAGCGACTGTACACAAAGCACTCAGTGCAAGTGTCAGGTTGGCTGAAATCCACATAAATAGATAAAAATACAACTACTATTCTATAGGCATGAAATGAGTATAAACAAGCCTTTCACAGTGTATGCTCTACAAAGTACTAAGAGTACCAAGTCACAGAGAAAATCAGAGCACAGTCCTCTGATGAAGTAGGCAGAATGTTGATGCAAATCCCTGACTGCACATTATTAAAGATCCACCCCTTATAGTTAAAGCTGGCAAAGCATTGTCACAGGAAGATGCATGGTATAGACCCCAGACCTTTAGAATCCATACCAAACAGCTAAATTGCATAGTAAATTAGAATTCATCTTGAGACCAGATCTGTGTAAGGTTCAACCATGGATATATATGTAAAATAGCCTACTGAGCAACAATTACTCCCTATATATTGGCATCTTCTAAACCATATACTGTATATCCAACTACAGATATCCATTTATTGAGTAAACACTTCTTTTAATTCCTTTTGGAAATGATCATATGCCTCCTATGCACATTTCTAAAGCCCAGTCTTCGTATTGTAATGCTGTCTTCAGTTGTATAACCTCTGGAGCCAGGCAAGTGACAAGATATAGCAGCAGAAAAAAAAAAACTACAGCTCTTGTCTACTCAGGATCTGTACTTCCATAGCTCAATCACAACGTACTACCAGGTATATAAAAATGACTGCTGCACATATGCCGACACTGTTATGCAGAGATGAGAGAATTGTAATTTCATACCTTGCAGGCATCTGATATGAATGTCAAGGCTAATCACTGGCAAAACATTCCAGGAGATCTTTATAAACTGATTACCAATACCCATGAACGGGTCACATATTGTTGTATCACTGGAAAATCATACTATTTTGTGATTTCATTTAAATGTGACAATAAAAATGTTAAAATATGTTATCTCTTAATGTGATCTTAACCACGCTTTAAATGATGTACTTTTTTTTATGCATACATTAAAGGCAACCAGAGTAAGGAGAAGCCAGGAACTTTGTGACCCTCTCTGACTCCTAAGACAAGTTCCTTTCCTGGAAAGTGTTCCTCACACAATTGTACCGTAGCAGCTATTATGGACAATGATGACAAATTGATAATGAAGATTTTGTGTCACTGCATTCCTCAATGTGCACAGCAACAGGGACTGGGATAGGGATCAGGAGTTCAAGTGAGAAGCCTGGCCTATACTGCCTCTGAAAGGGATTGTTTGAGGACTGGTTTTCCTTGTAATAGCAATGGGACTAGGGTGACCAAGCACTGATTCTCTCAACTCAATAGGGACAAGCGAGAGCTCTTCCCACCTTTAATTCCTTTTAACATTAGCATAATTTCAGCGAGCCAAATGGCTTTTCTATTTGCAGGAGACAGGTACACTTTAAAACACAAGTATGAAAAGGATAGGATCCTCATTAAAATAACAGAACATTAAGGCAACTTAGTAACAACAGACTGACTAGATGAAATAACTCTTCATTGTCTCATATTAGAAATATAGAGTTGAACACAGTACTGACACATGTAAACCTTGTTTGTGTAGAACCTTAATGAATACATTCAGCAAATGCCTTCACATAGCATAATACCATAAGCCGGATTCTTTATAAGTATAGCTTAATAATTCTGTAGCTGCGTGCTGTATCGTCTTTAGTAATACAATGGCTTGACATAATTGCCAGGAAACGTGCCAAACAGTTTTGTTCTTCTCGATGTACCTGTTACAAAATAAAAGTGAAATAGGCAAAGCAAAATTAGAATGGCAAAGAAGCAATGTGTAATGTTAAATTCCAAGCAAATGGTTGAAATTGCACATACTGTATGTGAGTGATGTGATCTCTCACAGGATTTGTGATTCTGTCCAGCCACTTTGCTTCTTGCCAGAGGCATTTAGGATGCACTTAGCAAGAACTAAGAGAAGATCCCGTCAAAGAGAGTAAATATCTCTTCTTAGAAAGTTGTCACTGGAAAGGGTTTTCCCATTAAAATATTTCCCTTAGCTCCTGTTCTTGTGACAACTTAAAGGCTAAGTCTACTTCTACAAAAAAATAATAAATGTACATATTTTTGCAAGAAAAAAATGTGCACTTATCATTTTTTGCAAATGAGTCTGCAAAGCATTACAATGGTGATCAGTGATCTATTTCCTGTGCACATAGAACTATTATACCTAAATATGTATCTTTTTAATGTCATGGGTTATAAACAGAGGAATATTAAAGAATAATTCAACATGATTTAATTTGTTTTCCAAGTACTAGTAAACCTATCCTAAATACTTGCTCTAATTCCAATCCATGCCTACCCCAACTTCACAAGTGCAAAATTAAACATGAGACATGAAAGCAGGAGCAATGTGGACTATTGATCAAAGAGTATAGCAGACATGGGTGTCACTGCTGGGATGCCTCTTGGGTAATAAAAGGCTGCTGTTCTTTCATGTATTTGATGCTCATCATGCAAATGATGTATAAAATTGTAGCCAATTAATTAAAAGCTCAGGATATCGCTCAGAAACAAAATTAATCCTGACCATACATAGAAAAAACTGATAGTTCCATCTGAATCTGTAATAATGGGTCTTTACTTAAGTACACGGTCTTACCTACAAACCATCCATCATCGCATTTCTCCATGACATCAACAACGTCTCCTTCTCTGAGCTCCAGCTCATCATCATTTTGTGGTAAATAGCTGTACAAAGCCTGAAAGCTAAACCTGAAAAATAGGACAAAGAATGTGTCAGGCTATAGATACAAGAACACTAATAAAAAAAAAAATTCTAATAAAAAAATAAAACTATAAAAGAAACAGATACTAGATTGCAGTTGTTAGGCAAAATCTAACTGCAGAAAGAGGTTTCTGGTGAAAATTGCTCGATTCCCCCATCAGCACTAACTGGGTTGTTGAGGGAGTCCCTCACGTGAAGCTATTGTGTTCTCCCAGCCAAAGGGGGGGAGGGGGGGCATGAGGGGAATCATTCCTGCTGGGAGAACACAGTGATTATTGCTAACGGTTATAGCCACTGGCAATATTCACATTAAAAATCTGACAGGCTAGTTGTACACAAGTTGTACAATTTAATTGGGTACAATCAGCCTGCCAATAGATGGTTCAAATCTTGGCTGTTCCCTGCTGAACCGACCAAGATTCAAACCATCTATGGCCAGCTTTATGGACTATACCTAAAAAAAGAGCCAAATGAGGTGTCACGGAGTGCCTACAGACATTTGATCATTTCCCAGTTTTACTGTAAAAAGCTAGATCAGGTGATGACCACCCTACGTTTGTGGGCTTCTTTGGTTATCAGTAAACATTGTTTTATTCTAAAGCAAAATACTAATCCTGTTTCACAAAGGAAAACACCTTCAGATTTTTTAATCCTGGTTCTGTTTTAAAAGATCCTGGCAAAAATGCCTATATTTAGCCTTGTATGGCTAGACTGGTTTTATGACAAAGTGAAAACCATGACACGTGAAACCTGTCTTGGCATAACATCAACTCTTTATCGGGATTGGTTGGATTCAACAGGACTGGTGATACTTTACTAGTGAAGAAATGATCCAATCATACGAAGCGCTCTCCATCCCTACTTTACAAAATCTCACCCAAGGACAAAATATTAGCAGACTAGATTAAGGGGCACAATCTGGTTAGTAATCCAGTTTATAGGCAAAATTACACAAGCAATTATCAGTTGTGCTACCCATAGAAACACAAAACACCACATGGTGATGATAAATTAACAAAAACATACAAGGAATGGCATTAAAAACACTTTTATAATAAACGCAATATGAATAATATTGTCAGCATAAAAAGGAAATTAGGGCATCTGTACAACAGAAGACAAATAAGCAACATAATCAGCCCATCAACCTTAAAGTGTTACTAAACCCAGGACCCTACATTCACTATGTCTGGTCTCCCACAGTACACAGAACACGGAAATGCAATTATTTTAGTAAATATAAACTGCTAAATACCTTTCAGCAGTTTGAGTAGTCTTGTGTCTTCTATCAGTGTCCAGCAGAGCACATGTTAAACCTTGTAGGAGGAGCTTTAATTTTTCTATAGGAGGATGCAATACCCCTGACCTCTGTCTGGGCAGTGCTGATTTGTCCTGTGCTGATCACATGCACTCTTCCCAAGAAAAAAAAATAAAACCTCTCTAGCAATACACACCAAACTGAGCATGTGCAGAGTGACTCCACACGATATGTCTTATCAGGGGATAAGAGGGAGGCACTGTAAGAAGGGGAGGATCAGAGAAGTCAGGATCAAACAGCGTTTTTACACAATGCAGAGGATTAACCTCTTAGGTTCCACAGTGAGTATAACAAACATACTTTACTGCATATACAGACTGATTTTTCTATTGTATGTTTAGTAACACTTTAATTAAAAAAGGGTATAGCTCTAGGTACCCAGGCAGGACTCTACTTTTTCAATTCTGACAAAACAGCTATGAAAGGATTGGTCCTGGCACAATGATGTCAAACTTCCTATGGAGAAGTGCAGGCCAGGTGCTGTAATTTAATATTGCTACATCCCTGAGATATAGTAAATATTTATTAGGTTAAATAATGGTAAATGGATTCCCTGAACATTTAATTGCTATATGGTAAGGCTACGTGTTTGCTAAATAAAATTAAATAATTGAGAATAAAGGCTTATTCTAAGTAATTAATATCCAGGTTGACACAGATTCCCCCCCCCCCCCCCCCTTTGTATCTGGAATGTAGACAAGGGATGGGCACCAATGAGGAGTGTCAGGATGTAGACAGTGGTGTGGGATGTGTTGAGGCCAGGGGCACTTATGAACTGGATCCTTCTCCATGAAATGTACTTTTATATTTATGTATGCACTTTAAATGGTTTACATATTTCAGCTCAACTATTTTTTATTTAGAAAAGTACAGTTATCCCTAAAACATATTTAATGAGCTAAATGTCCATGAAGCTAGGAAATAGCTTGAATAATAAACAACTCTCAGTTTCCTGTTTGTTATCATAAGCCAAATGAGGTTTTCCATGAAAAAACCTTGAACTGTCTGAGTTAAAACATCTACCAACCCTTGCACCCTGTATACAAATAAAGCATTCAAGCACAAATAAACCTAACTTTTCAGTAAGCTAAATATATTCCAGGTTCATCAAAACTCATGGCATGCAAAATGTTACATTTTGTTTCATTAGAGCACAGCTGGAGTAGAAAACCTGTCCCCCATCAGCATGCCGCAAAGAAGGATCCTTGCCTTCTGTGTGGAAGCAGTGGTCTCTCTGCAAAGGTCTGATAACATCCTTGCTGAGCCTGACCTATTTCTCTACAATCAGCATAGCACATGCTCCTTGCCCAATAAAGAGATCTAGCTTTTAGTTAGAAGAGGGTGTATCCAGGGGCGGACTGACAACTCGTGGGGCCCCCGGGCAATAGGGGATCATGGGGCCCCTGTGTCCTTGCCCAAAGTCAAAAAAGCCTATGAAAAAGGTACCAGGGGCATCTCATGGGGCCCCCTACTGACCCCGGGCCCTCGGGCAGTGCCCGAGTTTCCAAATGGTCAGTCCACCCCTGGGTGTATCAGACCTTTTCAGAAAGTAAGGGTCCTTATCTATGGTATGCTGACAGGAGAGAGACATTTCTATTGAAACTGAAGTTACTTTATCAAGAAAAGCTTAAAATGTAAGATTTTGCATACCCTTTTTTTTATACACCTGGAATATATTTAAAGTGAAAGTTCAATTAGTCTTACAATAAACACGGTTACTGCAGTGAGTTCAAATAGTTCAAATATAATATACAATCATTTTCCCTGATGAAGACACATGATCCGGTGGCGTAACACGTAGGGGAGGGGCTTTGACGTCATGACACTCTATGGATCTAGAGATACCAGCTGGCTGCACACAGGACAGAGTCGATAGCGATATTGGAGATAATTACTCTGCATAAAGCGCTTTTACATACTGCATATGTGAGTGTAACATTTTATCATAATAAATGCTTGTTGTAAGTATAAAGCACTATGTTCTGGTTATTTTTCTTGACATTGTAACCGATGGAGGAGAGCAACTAGAGGAGTGAACGGGATCCAGATCTGTTGGATACCAATCTCATCCATACTTAACCCATTAATGGGACACAAGCTTTATATGACCTCACTTAACAGTCTTGCCATATATCTAAGGTGAGCGCATAACTGGTGGGAGTGCACAAGTTTTGAATAATTACAGACACCAAAGGTGGACACAGAAGCATTTGATATATTGCACTAAAGTGATAATCAAGGAATTAATATGGACATTTTGTTATACTTTCTTGGAGTCATTTAAATTTTGCACTTATGTTTTTAGTTTGGTACAATTTTGAGTGGAGCATGGCACATTTTTGATAGTTTATGAGTTCAAATAGTTCACTCCATTTGCCTTAATCTGAACTCTGTAATCCTTTGCAGTGTAAGAACTGTATATACAGGATCTGTAGGAGGGCACTCCTTTAATTGTTCCCTTAATGCTCTCTGCTTCAAGGAATCACCAATTATGTGTACTTTCAATGTAAGCTTGAATCTGCCTGGGAGCTGAAACTTTTTAGCAAAGTTGATATTTTACATCTCTTATTCTGTATGCAAGGAGCAATGAGAATGGAGTGGTGCACTCTAGGATCACCCCATTACAGACTATGCTAGATTGGTGAAGTAAACACTATGGGGTTGATTTACTAAAACTGGAGAGTGCAAAACCTGGTGCACCTGTGCGTAGTAACCAATCAGCTTCTAAATTAAACTTGTTCAATTAAGCTTTGACAAAAAAAAAAATGAAGCTAATTGGTTTCTATGTAGAGCTGCACCAAATTTTGCAATATCAAGTTTTAGTAAATCAACCTCTTTGCCTGGATAAAGAACTATAATACTGACCTTTAAGACCCTTTTCCATGTATGCAACCCAAGACTGAATTGTCTATTTTGCATGCAATGTACCTTTAATGGAGCACAGTGGTGGGATTCTACAATGGTTCACTGTTAGGGCTCATGTACACGGGGCGTTTGGAAAACTCTTCTGAATGATGGAAACTGACTGCTGGAAAATGTAGGTTAAAAAAGTCAGTTTAGCCACGTTTGCATAACGTGTTTATGAGCATCTGTGTTTAGAAGCGTTTTTAAAAGATGACCTCAAGAGACATTCCCAAATGCTCAGAATGCACTGAAAAACAGTAAAAAATTAACTATTTCAGACATTTTGAGAGGAATAGAGAGAGCAGAAACAGAGAGCAGTATGTGTTGAGATTACCTGTCTTTTCTGGTTGTATTCACTATGGATCCCATCATGAGCATAATGCAGCACGTTCTATCATTTTTTCCTTCACACAAAACCTGGAACTCACTGCATTGGTGTACCGGGTCCATATGAGTACCTTGAAAACGCTTTGCGTGCATTTCTGATTATGAAAAAAGGCTCTGGACAGCATGGCTTCTAAATGCAAACGCTTCTAAACACGTTTACAAGCGTAAAATCTACTCCTGAATGTAAGTTTGGTGCGTTCAAAAAAATGACTGTAAACTCAACTGTCTGTAAACGACTATGTGTACATGAACATAGGAAAACATTAGGGTGAGTTCAGGGGCTGCTGAAAAAAAAAACCACAGAAAAGCTCCTGAACGTGAGTTTATCAGCTGCCATGTACATGAGCCCTTAGTTGTGGATAAACTCCTCTGAGTTTA